TTCTGGCACGTAGAAAACTACAACAACAATACAAATGTCAACGGCATTTTTATGTTGTCTGCTAAATATTAGCACTACAACAACAACAACAACGAAAACTAATGGCAGTGCTACTGCTGCTGTTGGCAGAACCTCCTGCTGTAAACAAGGAGGACCTCATTTAAGGGGAGTTCAACGTTTTTTTTTTTTTTTTTTTTTGTCTGGATGGAAGTATGGATGGTTGTGTGAGTGTGTTTGTGTGCTTTCTGGGGGTTAATCGCATTTGTTGTAAAGCTAACGAGGAGTAGTTTCTTCGTTTTTCTTTTGTCCTGGTTTTTTTGGTGTATAATTGTGAAGTAAATATAATAATTCAATTATGCATGAAGCTCTAAGGGATGTGTAGAAAATGTTGGTCCTTCGAGCAAAAATAAATAATTTTTCTTAGGTAATGATCATAATGAAAAAAATAAATTTATTATACCCTACAGAGCTATGTTGTCAGGGTATTATAGCTTTGTGCAGACCCAAAAGTTTGTAACGCCGTGAAATATTGGTCCTAGTCGATTTTTTTTTTGAGTCGATCTATAGGCCACAATTGAAAGCCCAACATCACATCATAACCCACGGTAAAGAGAATCTGGACAAGTATGACCCTCTTCTACGGAATATTAGTAATATTTGTTGACCTTTAGTCAGGTTTCAAGAGGGTGCAAATAACGCAAAGTTAGATTTTCGTGGAAGTTGTGTAGGGTATTATATGGTCGGCCCCGTCCGACTATACTGCTCCTCCGCTCACTGGTTTTTAAGTGTATTTTTTATGCTCCAACTAAGGCGTAATTTTTTTTATTTTTTTATTTTATTTTATTTATTTTTTTTTTTTTTTAATTTTCCGAACATATTTTTGTCATGGATACATCTCAGAAGGGGATATGTAAAAATAATAAATTATAGGTTCTATCCCAAGTTATAGTCCAAGTGATTTTTAAAAACAATTTTTTCCCACTGGATATTTTTTTTAAATCTTTATGTATGGTATAAAGTAATTTTGGAATCTAACTGAATAGTGGATTTTTTAATATGATATTTTCTTGGGGATTTTTTAAGGGACTATTCCTGATTGGGATTCTTTTAAAATTGTTAAATATTTTAATTCAAAAAAATCGATACAAAAATATATATTTTCAATAAAAATTTCGTGGTACAAATAAATGTTTTAAAAAATATATATTTAATTGAGAACATGATCTTGCATATACATAAATTCGAATATTTTAAATTTTAATATTTTTTTATTTAATTTATTTATTAATTTTTTTGTAGCACTTTGAAGGAGGATATTTTTCACTTGTGAGCAAACTTTATAAATTTTTGTTTTAACTTTGTATTAAAATCACATAAAATTTGTATATAATTTTTATTAAGTAATATTTTAAAATTTGTGTAAATTAAATAAAAATGTTTTTATATTTATATTTTTTTCTTTAATTATAAATACATTTTGTTAATATTTAGCAATATAAATTGGTAAAATGGTGGCACTTTTAGTTTTAACTTTTTATATTTTTTATAGGTATATTTTTTTGGTATTGAAATTTTTTTTATATTATATCACAAATCTTATATAATTTTATTATGTTTTGTATTATAATTTCGTTTTTTGTTCATTAAATATTTATTGTTTTTTTTTAATTTATTATTAATTGTATTATTTTTTTATTTTTTTATTTATTTTTTTTTTTGTAAGATTTTTTTTTAAATAATTTCTTAATGTTATTATTGAAAATTTCTTTATACACAATAGAATTAGTATTAATTATTGTTTTTTCCATTACATGTTGTTGTTTTTATTCAATTTATTATTACAATTTAATTTTTTTTCTACAATGTTTTTTTTAATTATTCTAACAAAACATTACATTTTCTTGGGGTTCAATTCAAATCAATTTATTTAATTTAAAATTTAATATAAAAAATTAAAAAATAAGAAATTAATTTTTTTTAATTTTAATTAAATTTTTGAAAAGTTTATTGTTTTTAATATATACCTAAATATATATATATATATATAATATTTAGGTATATATATAATTTTAATATTTGATTTTCCATTACTTTTAATAATTGAATTTGTTTTTTATTGCAGCATATTTCATATTTTAAAAATATTTGATAATAAATATTTGAAAACTTTTTTGAAATTATTTTTTTTGTCAATTTATTAAATTGTTTATTTGATTACTATTTTCAAAACTTATTATTTTTATTTTTTTTAATTTTTTTATTATTTATTTTTTTATTATATACCTAAATATACATATATATATATAATTTTAATATTTGATTTTCTATTACTTTTAATAATTGAATTTGTATTTTATTGCATCATGTTTTATATTTTAATAATATTTGAAAACATTTTTGAAATTATTTTTTTTGTCATTTTATTAAATTATTTATTTGATTTCTATTCTCAAAATTTATTATTTTTTATTTTTTGTTTAATTTTTTTATTATTTATATTAATGTTTTTATTGTTTATTTAATTTTATAAAATATTACTATTTTATTTATATTAAGTAAAAAAGTATATACAAATTATTCTGTTATTTTATTAATTAATTTTATAATTTATTTTTTGTAATAATTTTTTTTTTATTGTCACATTCTAAATTGTCTATTTCATTGTACAAAATTAAATAAAAAAATTTTGTATTATAATTTTCAAATTTTTATTTATTTTTTTATTCATTTTATTTTTTTAATTATTTATATTACTATTTTAATAATTTATTTTATTTTATGAAATATTATTGTTATTATTTACATTAGGTAAATAATTATATACAAATTATTTTAATTTTTTAATTTATTTTTTTATTTTTTAGTTTATTTTTTTATTTTTTAATTATTTTCCTATAGGTATATTATTTATTTTTTTATTGTATTACTTTTATTTATTTTGTTATTGTTATTCTTTTCCTTCGATATTTTTATTATTTTTTTTTTTTTTAATTATTATAAAATATTTTTTCATTATTTATTTTGATTATGTTTTTGAGTCCATTTGTGTACAAGATTATTTTGTAATATGTTTTTATTTTATATTTAGTTATTTTTTTTTAATCCACAATTTTTCCTAAAATCATTTTTTATATTTCTTTATATTTTATATTACTTCTTTAATTATTATAGAGCCCCTTTTTTAATTTTGCAATTATTTATTTGAATAATTTTCATATTAATTTCAAATGTTTTTCTTGTTTGTAATTATTTATATAGAATATTTTTTTCGTTATTATAAATTTTTAATTTTTAGTCTAAGACTAGTTTAGGGCCTCTCACGGGTCGTTTTGAAATTTTTACCACATGTAGTCCTTGGGGCCCTGATTGCTGAAATTGGTATTTCTGGAGATATGGGCCTCGAAAGTTCCGTTGGGGCCCTTGTATTTTCTCGTAATTTTTTTATGGACTGAATATTATATTTTTGTAATCAGGGCTTCAAATGCTTTAAAATGATACCCATATTGCCTTAGTGGATTTTAAAAATGTATGAGAAAACACAAGGGTCCAAACGGAATTTTGGAAGCACATATCTCCGGTAATACTGATTTCCGCAAGAAAAAAATACTGTTATAATCAGGGCCCCAAGGACTACATGTGGTAAAAATGTCAAAACTATCCGGGAGGGGCCCTAAACTAGACTTTTTTTTTATAAATTTTGTTATTCATATTATTATATTATTTTATGTAATTTCTTTATATATATATATATATATATATAATTTCTTAATATTTAATGATTTTTATTTTTATTTTCATTTTTTAATTATTATTTTTGTTATTCATTTTTTTATATTATCATGTATTTTAAATTATTATTTTTCTTATTTTATACAACAATATTTTGTATTAATTTTACTCTTATTTTTCTGAGAAGAGTTTATTTTTTTACAATATTTTTACGTATTTATTTAATGTTATACGTTTTAATTCAATCACTATTTTTTTACTATTCTTTTATAATAAATTCATTTTTTATTTAAATTCTGCATCTTCTTCTTTATGTTTTTTTTTCCACTCTCAGGATAATACATTCTGATACTTGACACTGTATATATTTATTACCAATCCTTTTCCAATATTTCTTTTTAAAAATATATTTTTTTTGTTATGCATTCTTTCTTAATCCGAATTCACTATTCACACTATTAATTATTAAGGATTACTTTTTTCTTAGTATTTTCTACCATTTCTTTTTGGATTATTTTTCTGAAACTATTGTTATTATTTTTTATCATCTTCTTTTGAATTCACGCCATTATTCGTTCACTATAATTATTATTTTTTTTTCGTTTAAAGTAGTCTCCTCCTTCTTTATGTTTTTTTTTTCTCTCAAACACTTTTTTTGAAACATTATTTTTTTTAATATTCAGTTTTTATTAATTTTTTTAAAATTATTACATTTATTTCATAAAATATTTCCTATTTAATTTGCCCCTTTGTTATTTTTTTACTTTTATTTTTTTTCTTCCTTTTTTGTCATCGATATTTTATTTTTGAAATTTTTGTTAAGTCACCTCATTTTACTATTTTCATTTTTCACACCTTCTCCTTTTACCATTTTCTACATTATTTTATTTTCTTAATTATGATTTTTTAGTTAATGACACAGCACTGCTGCTGCTTTGCACTTTCTTGTCTTATCCTGTTTCAATAATTACTCACACTCTTTTGACTATTAAACACTTGTTTTGTTTATATTTTTTGTTATACTAGTTATTGTTCTTTCACATTAGTTGTTGTTTGTTTGTTCACATTTCCGAAAAATCTCCTTTATTTTGTCATTAATTACTTCTTTTCGCTTTGTTGTTGTTGGTTTGCTCACTCTCTTTGAAAATATCTCCCTTTTTTTCTTTGTTGTTATTTTTTTACACTTCCTTCAATTACACACTTTTCTCCGTTTTGTTAACTATTATCTTTGTCTTACTATTTTTTTCGTTCATTTTTATTGTTGTTATTGTTGTAGTTTGTTTTTTTCTTTTCTACTTACCATTACATCCTTTTGATTCTCTTTATCCAATAAAAATTCCATTGACTTGTGTGGACGTCTCACCGATGCAATTTGGGCCGCTTGCCCACCAGCCGTACCGGCATTTTTAATAACAACAACTGTGCCATCAGGCCGTACAACAACTTCATCGTTATCATCATAATCAACATCATCATCGGGGTCACCACCTCCGGATACCTTATGGCCGCCACCCAAGGTGTGCCTTTTATTCGAACCACCACCCAATGAGGCATTAGGTCCAATATTCATGAGCGAACGTGTTTTACCCGTTATAACCGTTTCATGGGTATCCAAATTTGTTTCAATTAAACCGATTTTGGGTTCACCTCCGGAGCCGTTGTTGGATGCCGCGGAGTTACGCGATAAATTATTAAACATTTGAGTTTTTTGCGAGACCGTTGCACGTGACGGCGATACACCGAAATCATAGTTTACAACAACATTCGTGCCGGACATGTTGTCGACCGTTTCATTATTGCCAAAGGACTGACGATGATGGGCATGGCCATGTGAACGTTCTGCTTGCAAGAAATCTTCGGTACTGCCACGAGGATTGAGGGGAGCCAAGGGGGTGGTGAATGGGGCACCGCCGGCATCAGCTGTTTGCTGTAATTCTTGGGTGTAAAAACGGCTGCCTCCAATTGATTGCTGCTGCTGTTGTGTGGAGTTTGCGCTTTGAGATTTTGCTTGTTGTTGTTGGGGTGGTAGGGGTGGTTTGCCGATTACCTTTGAGTTGGATTTTGTTGTGCCCTTTTTGGCGTTTGACATTTTAGTACCATTTGTCACTGTGGTGGCGGCGGCATTGCCATTTGTGTTGGGGCCAGCATTGCCATTATTGTTTTCCTTGTGCGACTCAAAGAAGCCGGTTTCATATTTTTCCGGCAAGGGCCCCTTTAAGGGTATGTAAATGTAATCCGGTTGTGATGAAGAGGATTTCGAAGGCATTTTGGAAGAACCATTCGATTTTTTGTTGGCTTCTTTGGTGACGACCTCCTTAACTTCCCCTTGTTGTTGCTCCGGGTCCTTTGTTAATTTCGTTTTCTTATTTTTCCTCATCGAAAACCGAAAACCATTGGCAAAACGCGATAAGAAACCCTTGGAATTTGGATGTTTTTCATCGGCCTTAAATTTCGATTTCATGATATCATTGTTGTTGTTAATTTTCGCGGTGGAACCGGAAGAGGCATTTGCCATGGAATTCGTGGACGACGACATCCTATTCAAATTTTGCACCGACTGAGATTTATTGGCCGAATATTGTTGTTTTTCCGTTTCCTGTTGCCTTTGGAATTTATCCAACATCTGCTGGGAGGCGTAGAGTATGTGATGGGCCCGATTAATTGGCGGTTCCGATAATATGGGCAATTGGATACTAATTGGCCGGGCAATAACAATGGTGGGCTTAATTGCAGGCTTATTTATTGGTTGGTCACCGTGTTTTGTTTTGTCTGATTTTGCGCCGACTGTTGCTCGTTCTTGTTGTTCTGCTTCTTCTTGTTGCGATGGCTTAATATCCGTTTTATTAACATTTAATGTTGTTTCATTGTTTACGTTCGTTGTTAAACTAAATGTTGCTTTGGTTATAAACATTGAATCGTCGTCGTCTGCGTTCTCATTCTCCATATTCCCCTGTGTTTCATTTGTCATGCGTTCCCGTTTTACATTGCTCAATTCTTGTTTGGTTTCGACAACGGCCATTAGTAAAGACGGCTGAGCAGTATCACTTGTGTGGGCTCTCTCGGCCACCTGACTCTCTGTGTTGTGTTCTCTGTCTCTGTTTTCGTCTCCTCTAGGCAGAGCGCCACTGTACTGTGGCTTGCCTGTGTGTGGTTGTTGTTGCCGACCCTCATTGTGTGTTGTTGTTTGGCTTGTCGTCTCTGCATACGTTGGCCGAGCATGCTCAGCGTCTTCGGTAATTGAACGAGCGCCGCCAGCAGCACATAACAGAGCTTTGTTTGTGTGTTGTTGTTCATTTGCTCCACCACACAGTTGTGTTGTGCTGTTAGGCTCTCCCTCATTGTTGTTTACATTATTGTTGTTGTTGCCATACTGTTCACTTGGGCATGCTGTGTTTGGCCTCTCTCCCCTTATGTTGTCACTGTTGGCATGCTCTTCAACCATTTGTTGTGTTGTTTTGTTGCTGCTATCATATTGATCCACTCTCTTAGTCTCTTTAATGCCCGAATTCTCTTCTTTTTTCTGATTTATTATTAATTTAGGTAACTCTTTGATAACGGCCTTATATTTCTCTTTCAGCGATAACTCTTCAGGCTCTTCTTTTTCTTTATAAAAACTGCCAATAATTTCATTTTCTTTGGTATTTTTAATGACCACGGCATCACAATTATCCAATAGCTCATCATCACTGGATTCAGAGGCGGGTAGTACCTCCGCCTCTCCCTCATCATGATATTCCTCTGAGGATTGTTCCTGCCATGAATATTTCGAGACGACAGGGCAAAAACTAACCTCCTTACCAAAGGAACTCCTTGAGCCGGCGGGCAGTAGAATTCCCAATGGCTTTTGGGTTTGATTGATGTTCAATTGATGCATGGAATTAGTGGCGGAGGAGACAAACATATCATCCTCGATGTCACGATCCTCTTCATTTTGATAGGCATTCAGGTTGGGGGTGGAGGAAACTAAATTTTTCTTTTTCGAGGAATTCGCCTGGCTATGGAAACGTCTCTTGGGCATGGTGCGTGTGCGTGTCAAATCAGGATTACTTATCTCCCTACAATCAAAATTGCACTTTTCCAAACTTTGGGCATAGCTGGTGCGCAGCATAGTCGGATCTTGGTCGAATGTCTTGCCCGAAGTTTGACCCATAAGGGCACTGAAGGTGAAATCTTGGGTCAGACTATTGGTTTTCTCTTCGACGTGTTTTCCCTGGCGCTTCTGGCGGGCCGGGGGTTTGCGTATCACTAATTGGACGTGTTGGACAGCTTCTGCATCTTCTTCGGGATTTTCCGTTTCCGAGTGACTGGAAGAATTGGAATTTTTCCTTCTCCTTGTCGGAGGTTTGGGTTTCACACAATCCACCACATCGGGCGCCATTTCTTTTTCCTTACTCTGGGGGCGATCATTTAAAATCGAGGCGGTCTTATCATAATGGGCCGATAGCTCATCTAAGAGGAAATTATTACGGCAAACCAATTCCGTTTCATAGTCGGAGGAGCTACGTTTGTCGGACATTTTTTGTTCCCGCTGCTCTTCTTCTTCGTTCTCAAAATTCAATTGGGCCAAATTATAATAGGATTGATGTAATCGCGAGCAATGTTTAATGGCCAAAGGAGGTTCTGGGGTCTGACAGAATTGGAAAGGGGTCTGGAGGTTCGCTTCGGGGGAAAATGAATTCTCAAAACACCAACTGGAACTTCTTTTGAGTCTCGAATCCTCTTCACTTGATTCGGGGGAACTTGAGTCGCCGCTTTGAGGGGAGTTGCTGAGGTTAGGGTGGGGGATCCGTGTCCGGGACTTTTTCAATTTCTTTGTTTTGCTTCGGCCCAATTGCTGCAATTCATTTGGTACACTTGAGGTCCTGCCGAACCAACAATTCTGCATTAAGTTGGGGAAACCACTTCGGCGTTCCACCACTGGCGAAGAATAATATTCCGATGATTCGGAACTATAAAATACTGGAGGAGGGGATCTCAAATCTTCACTTGAGTTCAAATATTTTTCTTGCTGGCGGATTTTGTGTAGCAAATTTTCTTCTAGAAGGCCACTGGAGCAAATTTGGTCCTTCGAGCCAAATTCGGAATTTTCAAAATCTTGGAAATTTTCAAAATTTTTGAAATTTCTGTCTGTTTCTTGGGGTTTGTGTTGTTGTTTTTCTTCAAGGTGCCTGTAGTTAGAAGAAATTTGGTCCCTCAAGCGATTTTCGGAATTTTCAAAATTTTGGAATTTTTCAAAATTTTTAAAATTTGTTGCTGCTTCTTGTTCTGAATGTTTTTGTTGTTGTTGCTGTTCTATATCTTCGTCATCACTTGTTTTCAAATTTTCTTCTGCCCTGATTTTTTGTTGGTTGGCATTTTCTTTCTTTTGACCGATGCTGCTGCTTCTGCTGATCGTCGGTTCTCGGTTCTCGTCGTCGATGTCTATTTTCCCGTTAGATGTTTTCCTTTCACAGAGATCGTTTAAACTAATTGGCAGCCGATTTTCCGTACAGTGAAAAGCCAGTGGTGGCGTGGAGATTCTGTTGGTGGCGTCGGAGGCTGACGGCATTAGCCATGTGAAAGAGGCCCGAGATGCGCATGTCGTGGCCGAAGATGATGATGACGATGTGGATGATGATGTTGATGATGCGGCTGATGAGCGTGAGCATGACGATGCCGCTGAGGATGTATGAGAATTTTTACTTGAGGCCGTAGACACCTCCGAGGAGACTGGCGATGGTGAGTGTGTTTGGCTGCGTTGCTTGTGGCGCATGTAATCCACAAGAGTGGGGGAGGTGGGGGGTGTTGTTGTTGTCGGATTATTTTTAAATACGTTAATGGAATGTTTGGCCGCCTGATCTTTACAGAAGCCAGAAGATGCTGGCTGCACTTCGTGTGAGGATGCTGCTGCTTCATGGGCTTCTGGATTTTTTATTGGCAAATTGAAATCGAAATCGGAATGCTGCAGGGATTTATGTTCCATTAACTCCTCATCCTCTTCGGAGAATTTTTCATAATTTTTACACAGGTTCTGGGATTTGCTACGCCTTAGCAGACCTCCACCAAAAGGCTCACAATAGCCCGAGTCCTCACTAAGGTTCTCCGCCGAAGATTTACCTTTTTTACTTTGCGAACGCTGGAATTTGGGGGAGAGAACCGATACTACCCTTGGGGAACAGGCATCGGAACCTTCATAGGAGGACGAGGATGAGCTTGAGGAGGATGACGAGGAACTCGACTCTGAATCTGATCTCAGTTCCGCCAATTTCAAGCCACCCACTCGGGGGAAATTTTCCGAAGTGGCATTCGAACCCCCACCACCAACCTCCACCATATCATCAAAATTCAGCTTATCCAAATCGTAATAGGTCTGATGTAGACGGCCATCCAGCGATTCATATTTTTTCAGCAACGAAGACTGTGAACCTCTCCTGCTATTATTTCCCGAACTATTTGCGGAATTTCGATTATTGCAATCCTCATTCGCCTCCTTGGACATATCAAAACTGAGCAGGGAGGGCGAAGAATTACCCAAACTATTCATGCTTGCATGCTGTTCCTGCAGCAGCAACTGGCGCTCCAAGGACTCGAATTGGATCAGCGATGAGGAGCGACTTAAGGAGTTATAGGACAAGGAGTCGGAATCGGAATAGAAATCATCAAAACCTCCATTTCCACCACCACCCCCACCAGAGGCTGTCGAAGTACGGCGATTACCCAAACTATTGCGCTGCGCCGAAATCTGTTGGGCGCCACTGCCCCAGGAATCGCGTGAAAAATTCTCATAATTCAAAAATCTTTCCAAACTGCTATTTTTATGTTCCGCATAGAGATTTGATGTTGCCGGTCTTCGCAAAATCACCTCATCCTCTGAAGTGGGATCATCACAGCGCCTTGCCCGCTTGGCCGGACACAAAATATCACGTTCACTATTAGAATCGTTATCTGGAAAATCGGAATCGGAAAATTTTGCGATTAAAAATCATTTTGAATTTTTGAAAATAATTTCAAAGCTACCCTACCTTTGGTTATTTCGACTCTAATTACAGAACCTGTATCCGATTCGGCTGAGCTATAAAAACTGCTACTGTGATTGCGTACACAATTCGACGCACTGCAAAGGCTTTCATCGCATTCCTCCTCCTGGTCGGCAGCAAAATCATCAACTTCTCCACCACCACCACCTCCACCATCAATTAGATGCGAGTCATATTGGTTCCAGGAGTTATAGGCATATTCCTCATCCTCAGAAGTTTCTTCCATAATGGGTTCCAACATTTGGCGGGAGGAGGATAGATATATGGCATCTGGAAAAAGTGGAGGAAAAAAAAGAAAATTAATAAAAAATATTTTTCAAGGGAGATTTAAAAAAATATATTTTTTGGAGACTTTGCATTTTTTGAAAAAAATTGGAGACTTAAATTTTTTAAAAATATTTTTGGAGACTTGGATGGTTTTAAAAATATATTTTGGAGACTTTGGATTTTTTTTTAAATATTTTTTGGAGACTTGAATTTTTTTTAAATATTTTTTGGAGACTTCAAAATAGGTGTGGATTGTTAAATACATTTTTGGAGACTTGAATTTTTTTAAAATATATTTTTTGGAGACTTGGATTTTTTTAAAAAAATATTTTTGAGGATTTTTTAGAAATATTTTTTGGAGACGTAGATTTTTTAAAAAAATTTTAAAAGGGTCCAAATTTTTTGAAAATATATTTTTTGGAGACTTGCATTTTTTTCAAATATTTTTTAAAGACATATAAATAGGCGTGCATTTTTAAAAAGTATTTTTTGGAGACTTGGATTTTTTGCAAACAGGCGTGGATTTTTTAAAATTAATTTTTGGAGGTGTCCACAAGGCAGGATTTTTTAAAATTAATTTTTGGAAGTCTCCACAAGGCGTGGATTTTTTAAAATTCATTTTTGGAGGTCTCCACAAGGCGTGCATTTTTTTAAAATTCATTTTTGGAGGTCTCCACAAGGCGTGGATTTTTTAAAATTCATTTTTGGAGGTCTCCACAAGGCGTGGATTTTTTAAAATTCATTTTTGGAGGTCTCCACAAGGCGTGGATTTTTTAAAATTCATTTTTGGAGGTCTCCACAAGGCGTGGATTTTTTAAAATTCATTTTTGGAGGTCTCCACAAGGCGTGAATTTTTTAAAATTCATTTTTGGAGACTTGAAATTTCTAAAAAAAATAGGAGATATGAAATTTCTAAAAAAAATTGGAGAATTGAAATTTCTAAAAAAAATTGTTGGAGACTTGAAAGTTCTAAAAAAAAAATTGGAGACTTAAAATTTCTAACAAAAAAATTTTTGGAGACTTCAAATTTCTAAAAAAAATTGGAGACTTGAAATTTCTAAAAAAAAAAATTTGGAGACTTGAACTTTCTAAAAAAAATTGGAGACTTAAAATTTCCAAAAAAAATTTTGGAGACTTGACATTTCTAAAAAAATCTTGGAGACTTGAAATTTCTAAAAAACAAATTTTATTGGAGACTTGAAATTTGTAAAAAAATGTTTTTGGAGGCTTGAAATTTCTAAAAATAAAAATTGGAGACTTTCAAACAGTCGTGTATTTTTTAATACGACTTTATTTAATTTTTTGGAGACTTTGATTTAAAAAAATATATTTTTTGGAGACTTGGTTTAAAAAAAATATTTTTTTGGAGACTTGGATTTTTTTAAAAAATTTTTTTGGAGACATTTTTGGATTTTTTAAAAATATTTTTTCATGGCCTTAACAAAGGCGTGGATTTAAAAAAAATTGGTTTTGCAGGTCCGGATTTTTTGGAGGTTTTCAGCTCTACCGACTAATTCCATTCTTGCCTTTTATTATCGAGCGTTTTTTACGCATTTCTTGGCTGTTTCCCCCTTCCTTCCTCCACCAAATTTTTTTCGTAAAATATTCCGGTATTCGTGTCGTAAACAACTTCGAACCGTCCTTAAGAATATTCGCTTCGAAACTAAGCAATAACTCTTGGTTGAATTGTTGGGGGCTGCCAGTTGTGGATGGATGGATGGCAGTGCCTTAAGGCCACCATCTTCATCATCCATATTACTCTTCTTCTTCCTCTTTTTTTGTACTTTCAACATGTTGATGGCTTCTTATCTATGAATGCCACAGAGAGAACCGCAACAGTTGATCTTTGATACCGAAATGAAAATGTTGCATGGGTGTTTTTCAATTTTTCACAGTATCTAAAATATGATTCATAATTATGATGGGTGATTATGAGGTTAAAAATATTGTGATCATGATGATGCATGCAGCAAATCATTCATGTATGTCGTTCATTGGGAGATATGGTTAGGAGAAAGGAAGCCTTGAAAATAGTCTCCAAAAATAATTTTTAAAAAATCCACGCCTTATGGAAGTCTCCAAAAATAATTTTTAAAAAATCCACGCCTTATGATGGTAGTCTCCAAAAATAATTTTTAAAAAATCCACGCCTTATGGAAGTCTCCACAAATATTTTTTTAAAAAAATCCACGCCATCTAAAAAAAGCGCCACGCCATTTAAAAAAATTCACGCCATATAAAAAAAGCGCCACGCCATTTAAAAAAATTCACGCCATATAAAAAAAGTCTCCAAAAATATTTTTTTAAAAAAATCCACGCCATATAAAAAAAGTCTCCAAAAATATTTTTTTAAAAAAATCCACGCCTAATGATGATAGTCTCAAAAAAAAATTTTAAAAAAATCCACGCCTAATGATGATAGTCTCAAAAAAAAATTTTAAAAAAATCCACGCCTAATGATGATAGTCTCAAAAAAAAATTTTAAAATTTATGATGGTAGTCTCCAAAAATAATTTTTAAAAAATCCACGCCTTATGATGGTAGTCTCCAAAAATAATTTTTAAAAAATCCACGCCTTATGATGGTAGTCTCCAAAAATAATTTTTAAAAAATCCACGCCTTATGATGGTAGTCTCCAAAAATAATTTTTAAAAAAATCCACGCCATATGATGGTAGTCTCCAAAAATAATTTTTAAAAAATCCACGCCTTCTGGAAGTCTCCAATAATAATTTTTAAAAAAATCCACGCCTTATGGAAGTTCCAAAAATAATTTTTTAAAAAATCCACACCTCCAAAAATTTTTCCATTTTCCCTCCAAACATTTTTTTAGAAGTTTCAAGTCTCCAAAGAATTTTTTTTAGAAATTTCAAGTCTCCAAAGAATTTTTTTAGAAATTTCAAGTCTCCAACATTTTTTTTAGAAATTTCAATTCCCCAATATTTTTTAGAAATTTCAAGTCTCCAACAATTTTTCTTTTAGACATTACATGTCTCCAATTTTTTTAGAAGTTTCGAGTCCCCAAAAATTTTTTTTTTAGAAATTTCAAGTCTCCAAATTTTTTTTATAAATTTCAAGTTTCCAAAAATTTTTTAAAAATCCACGCCAAACGATGGTAGTCTCCAAAAATAAGTTTTTAAAAATCCACGCCAAATGATGATAGTCTCCAAAAATAATTTTTAAAAAATCCACGCCTCCAAATTTTTTTTTTTTTGTTTTTTGGAAATTTCAAGTCCCCAATATATATATATATATATATTTTTAAATTTCAAGTCACCAAATTTCTTTTTAGAAATTTCAAGTCTCCAAATAATTTTTTTTTAGAAATTTCAAGTCTCTAATTTTTTTTAGAAGTTTTAAGTCTCCAAAATTTTTTTTTTGAAATATCAAGTCTCCAAATTTTTTTTTTTAGAAATGTCAAGTCTTCAAATTTTTTTTTAGAAATTTTAAGTCTTCAAATTTTTTTTTCAGAAATTTTAAGTCTCCAAAAAAATTTTTTTTAGAAATATTAAGTCTCCAAAAAAAATTTTTTTAGAAATGTCAAGTCTTCATTTTTTTTTAGAAATTTCAAGTCTCCAAAAAAATTTTTTTTAGAAATTTCAAGTCTCCGAAAAATTTTTTTTTAGAAATTTCAAGTCTCCGAAAAATTTTTTTTAGAAATTTCAAGTCTCAAAATTTTTTTTTAGAAGTTTCATGTCTCCAAAAAATTTTGTTTAGAAATATTAAGTCTCCAAAATTTATTTTTAGAAATTTTAAGTCTCCAAAAATTTTTAAAAAATTTACGCCTTATCCACGCCTTGCGTTGGCTATCCTTCCCCCCTTTGCCTTAATTTCTGCCTTAAATGGATTTCATTATTTTTCCCTTCAGCCCTCGGCAATGGCCATGCCATTGCAGTTGTTGTTGTTTTTGTCTTCTGATGGACCTCTATGCCGCCAATGCGGCCTTTTGATCATAAGCGATAATGATGATGATGGCGATCATGATCGTCATCTGAGACCCTCTACCTCCCTCCCTTTCCTTAGAATTTTGTTTTCAATTTTATTTTTGATGACGACAGGCCCCGCTGATGCAGCGGAGGCTGCATCGGCCGAAGTGGATGATGATGCCGGGTACAAATGATGATGCATTTGTTTAGTTGCCTCTTTCTGTTTTTCTATTTTTTTCTGCTGTCATTGCAATTAATTTATTAATAAAAAAATAAACAAAGGAAAAAAAACTTGCGAAGCGTGTGTGCCTCAAGTCAAGAATGTCAGGCAGAATGAGAGAGAAAAATAGCTGGCGCAAGGGCCAACCATCCTCCACCCATCAGCAACCTACTCCTCACCAGCAGAATTTGTTTTTCTAGAAAAAAATGTCCCCCTCCCCCCAAAGGGGGCGGAGTAAATTTTCTGAAAGGCAACTGCTCCTCTCAGAACCAGGAAAACAATTTCGGGACACATGAATCTTCGAAGAAGATAAATTTATAAATTGTGACAAGAGGTCGTATATGTGGGCATGGGTACGAATGTGCGTGTGTGTGTGTGTGACTGTGTGCCAGTGATGGAGTAGCCAACAATTACGAAAGAAGCCGTGACATTTCAGGTCCACAAAAAATACAGCAACAACAAAAATTGAAACTGATTCCGAATGAGTTTAAAAAAAATAAATTACGGTCAGATTAAGGAACCTATTTGGGAAGATAAATTTTTGAAATACAAAAATATAAACTTGGCATGTTTATGAGCAATAATTGAAAATATTTGGAAACTGATATTGGGAGGGGAGGAGGGTAATAAATTTGAAAAATTAATATAATATTTTTCAAAGGGTCATAAACCAGCGTGGATTTTTTAAAAATTATTTTTGGAGATTTTTTTAAAAAATATTTTTGGAGACTTTCATACGTGGATTTTTTAAAAATTATTTTTGGAGATTTTTTAAAAAATATTTTTGGAGACTTTCAAAAGGCGTGGATTTTTTAAAAATTATTTTTGGAGATTTTTTTAAAAATTATTTTTGGAGACCAGCATAAGGCGTGGATTTTTTTAAAAATTATTTTTGGAGACCAGCATAAGGCGTGGATTTTTTTAAAAATTATTTTTGGAGACCAGCATAAGGCGTGGATTTTTTTAAAAATTATTTTTGGAGATTTTTTTAAAAAATATTTTTGGAGACCAGCATAAGGCGTGGATTTTTAAAAAATTATTTTTGGAGACCAGCATAAGGCGTGGATTTTTTTAAAAATTATTTTTGGAGACTACCATCATAAGGCGTGGATTTTTTAAAAATTATTTTTTGAGACTACCATCATAAGGCGTGGATTTTTTAAAAATTATTTTGAAAAAATTCTCGCCTTCGAAAAAATATTTTTTAAGAAATCCACGCCTTTGAAAAAATATTTAAAAAAAATCCACGCCTTTGAAAAAATATTAAAAAAAAATCCACGCCTTTGAAAAAATATTTTTTAAAAAATCCACGCCTTTGAAAAAATATTAAAAAAAAATCCACGCCTTTGAAAAAATATTTTTTAAAAAATCCACGCCTTTGAAAAAATATTAAAAAAAAAAAATCCACGCCTTTGAAAAAATATTTAAAAAAAATCCACGCCTTTGAAAAAATATTTTTAAAAATCCACGCATTTGAAAAAATATTTTTAAAAAATCCTTTGAAAAAACTATTTTCAAAAAATCCACGCATTTGAAAAAATATTAAAAAATCCACGCCTTTGAAAAAAATATTTAAAAAAAATCCCCCACTTCGAAAAAATATTAAAAAATCCACGCCTTTGAAAAAATATTTATAAAAAATCCACGCCTTTGAAAAAATATTTATAAAAAATCCACGCCTTTGAAAAAATATGTATAAAAAATCCACGCCTTTGAAAAAATATTTTTAAAAAAATCCACGCCTTTGAAAAAATATTTATAAAAAATCCACGCCTTTGAAAAAATATTTATAAAAAATCCACGCCTTTGAAAAAATATTTATAAAAAATCCACGCCTTTGAAAAAAATATTTTTAAAAAAATCCACGCCTTTGAAAAAAATATTTTTAAAAAATCCACGCCTTTGAAAAAATATTTTTAAAAAATCCACGCCTTTGAAAAAATATTTTTAAAAAATCCACGCCTTTGAAAAAATATTTTTAAAAAATCCACGCCTTTGAAAAAAATATTTTTAAAAAATCCACGCCTTTGAAAAAAATATTTTTAAAAAATCCACGCCTTTGAAAAAAATATTTTTAAAAAATCCACGCCTTTGAAAAAAATATTTTTAAAAAATCCACGCCTTGGAAAAATATTTTTAAAAAATCCACGCCTTTGAAAAAAATATTTTTAAAAAATTCATGCCTTTGAAAAAAATCTTTTTAAAAAATCCACGCCTTTGAAAAAAATTTTTTTAAAAAATCCACGCCTTTGAAAAAAATATTTTTAAAAAATCCACGCCTTTGAAAAAAATATTTTTAAAAAATCCACGCCTTTGAAAAAAATATTTTTAAAAAAATCCACGCCTTTGAAAAAATATTTTTAAACAAAATCCACGCCTTCAAAAAAAAAATATTTAAAAAATCCACGCCTTTGAAAAAATATTTTTAAAAAAATCCACGCCTTTGAAAAAATATTTTTAAAAAAATCCACGCCTTTGAAAAAATATTTTTAAACAAAATCCACGCCTTCAAAAAAAAAATATTTAAAAAATCCACGCCTTTGAAAAAATATTCTTAAAAAATCCACGCCTTTGAAAAATATTTTTAAAAATCCACGCCTTTGTTACTGGTCCTTGAAAAAATATTTTAAAAAAATCCACGCCTGTCTGCAATGGCCCTTGAACAAATATTTAAAAATAATCCACGCCTGTCTGTATTGCCCTTGAAAAAATATTTTTAAAAAAATCACGCTTTTGAATTTTTTGTTTTAAATCCACGCCTTTGAAAAAAATAGTTTTAAAAAATCCACGCCTTTGAAAAAAATAGTTTTAAAAAATCCACGCCTTTGAAAAAAATATTTTTAAAAAAAATCCACGCCTTTGAAAAAATATTTTAAAAAAAAATCCACGCCTTTGAAAAAATATTTTTAAAAAAAATCCACGCCTTTGAAAAAATATTTTTAAAAAATCCACGCCTTCAAAAAAATATTTAAAAAAATCCACGCCTTCAAAAAAAAAATATTTAAAAAATCCACGCCTTTGAAAAAATATTTTTAAAAAAATCCACGCCTTTGAAAAAATATTTTTAAAAAAATCCACGCCTTTGAAAAAATATTTTTAAAAAAATCCACGCCTTTGAAAAAATATTTTAAAAAAATCCACGCCTTTGAAAAAATATTTTTAAAAAAATCCACGCCTTTGAAAAAATATTTTTAAAAAAAATCCACGCCTTTGAAAAAATATTTTTAAAAAAATCCACGCCTTTGAAAAAATATTTTAAAAAAATCCACGCCTTTGAAAAAATATTTTTAAAAAAATCCACGCCTTTGAAAAAATATTTTTAAAAAAAATCCACGCCTTTGAAAAAATATTTTTAAAAAAATCACGCTTTTGAATTTTTTGTTTTAAATCCACGCCTTTGAAAAAAATAGTTTTAAAAAATCCACGCCTTTGAAAAAAATATTTTTAAAAAAATACACGCCTTTGTTAAGGTCTTCAAAAAAAATATTTTTTTACCCCAATATTTATTTTTTTTTATTTTAATTTCCTTACCTTGTTGATCAAATACTGGTGTATTCCATTGGGGTGGTGTTGTCATAATACCGGCTAAATCCAAATGCTCCATGGTTAGGATTGGTTGATGTGTTCAATTCTTTACTTAAAATCTAGTTAAAATTCGGGAATTTAAATAATCCGCAAAATATTGATATCCGTAATCCGTTTAAATTTTAGACAGATCCGCATAACCTCGATACAATGGGAAACTTTTTTTTTTTGCAGCGTTATCTATCCCGACTGGTTGGTTAAATGCGAAAATTAAATGGGGTGCTACTAAGTTTTTTTTTTTGTTCTTCGTAGTTAGTTGCAATGAAGGTAAAGGTCTAACAATGAAGAGAGAGCGACTTTGTGAGAGAGAGAGAGAGTACGAAGAGACCTTATCTGGAATTTTTGTTTTATTTTCTGGCAATTACTGTTGTCGTTGGTCTGGCAAGAACTATTGAATTCCCACAGAGGTATTTATTTTATTTTTTTGTTTTTACGATTAATCCATATAATAATTAATATTTTTTATTGTTATTTATTTTCTTTCACTTTTTTATTTTTTTAGCACCCAGTGAAAGAAATTTTGTTGTTTTTGTATTTTTTTTTTTTGTGTTTCAGACAGTCGTTGTGTTATTTTGGCGTCAAAACTCCCACCAACTTTTGTTTGTCTCCATTCATGTGTATGAAGAAAATTTAAAAGAAGAATTAAATTTATTCGTTGGCAAAAATGATATCTGCAAATAAACAAAAGAAGAAGAACAAAAACAAAATTAGTGATAAGAATACAAGTTAAGGGAGAGAGCGAGATAGAGAGAGAGCATACGACGTAAAATAAAGGTGAATTATTTAATAATTAGTTCGAAAAATAAAAACAAGTTACTGATAAACTTTATTGCACACCATTTTCAAAAAAAGAAAAAAAATATTCGGTTACCCGACTAAAAATAATCGGTTACTTAGAATTTTTTTAGCTCAAAAATATCCTTAAACAAATTTTGAGTTATTAAATTCTCAATAAAAGTTGCCAAATATTCCAAAATTATGACAAAAATAACCGGTTACCCGATTCAAAATAACCGGTTACTTGAAAAATAACTTTTAATTTTTAATTTTAATTAAAAAATGATACCAGCGAATTCAATTTGTATTATATTTTTGATAGAAGTGCCCGAAATTTCAAATTTGTGAAAAATTATTCGGTTACTCGATTAAAATGAAACGGTTACTTGCAAAATAATCGACACTTTAATAGAAAAATACAGTATTATAACATAAATAATCGGTTACCATATTGAAAGTAACCGGTTACTTGAACAATTATTGATTTTTTAATCCGAAAATTGCTCTAACGTACATTATTTTGATTATAATAATAATAAAACGTTAAAATTAATTAAAGCATAATCGGTTACCCGAATAAAAATAACCGGTTACTTGAAAATTAATCAGTCGGTTGATTCCAAAATGTCACTGAAGGATTTGATTATTTATATATATATATTCAAATACTGATGATTATTTATATTTATTCAAATACTGATAAAACCTAAAAATAAATGAAAAAGTAATCGGTTACCCGAATAAAAATAACCGGTTACTTGAAAAATAATCGGTATTTTGATTTGAAAATTTCACTGAAGGATTTAGTTATTGTAATATTGTTAATAAAAGTGTCTAAAATTTCAAAATTGTGAAAATATATTCGGTTACTCGTTTAAAAATAACCGGTTACTTACAAACTAATTGATTTTTTAATAGGAAAATTACAATAATGTACTTTATATTTATTCAAATACTGAAAAAACATAAAAATTAATGAAAAAGTAATCGGTTACCCGTTTCAAAATAAGCGGTTACTTGAAGGACTTCACTGAAGGACTTAGTTATTGTAATATTGTCAATAAAAGTGTCTGAAATTTCAAAATTGTGAAAAAGTAATCGGTTACTCGTTTAACAAAAAACGGTTACTTGCAAATTGTGAGATTAAGATTGTTTTTGGTTTAACTGTCAATAAAAGTGTTTGAAATTTAAGTGGTTACCCGAATAAAAATAAACGGTTACATGAAAAATAATCAGTATTTTGATTCGAACTGAAGGATGATCACTGAAGGATTTAATTATTATAAAATTGTTAATAAAAGTGTCTGCAAATTGAAACTTGCGGAAAAGTAAGCGGTTACTCGCTTAAAATTAACCGGTTACTTGACAAACAATAGATTTTCTAGTTCAAAAAATGTACCTAACAATTTAATTTGCATTGCATTTTTAACAAAAGTGTACGAAATTTCCAACTTGTGAAAAATTAATCGGTTACTCAATTAATATGAAACGGTTACTTGAAAAATAATTGATTTTGGAAAACGAAAACTTCACAAAAGATATTACTTGTGATTATATTAACAATAAAAGTGTCCGACATTTTAAATTTTGGAAAATTAAATCGGTTACTCGACTAAAAATAAATGGTTACTTAAGAAATAATTGATTTTTTAATTCGAAAAATGTACAATAGATTGTATATGTTATTAAAATATCAATGTCTGAAATTTAAAATTTTGTGAAAAATTAATCGGTTACTTGACTAAAAATAAACGGTTACTTAATTAATTAACGAATTTTGAAGTCAAAAACATCATAAAAAGTATTTATTTATTATTAAATTGCCAATGAAATGTTCAAAATCTTACATTTTTACAAAAATTTAAATCGGTTACCCGAATTAAAATAATCGGTTACTTGAAAAATAATCGATTTTTCAATACGAAAATTCCCCAAAAGAGTCAAATTTTAAATAATATTAAAATAAAAGTGTTCTTAAATCAATTTTTTATGAAATTTAGGCGATTACTTGCATAATAATAACCGGTTACTTGAAAAATATTCGCTATTTGAATTTGAAAATGTTGCCAAAGAACTTAATTCCTATTCAATTGCCAATAAAAGTGTCCGAAATTTCAAATTTATGTAAATCTAATCGGTTACTCGAAAACAAATAACCGGTTACCCGAAAAATAATAAATTTTTTAAATCGAAAACTTTATTAATGACTTAATCTTTTACTACTTTGGCAATATAAGTCTACGAAATTGTATTTTGTATAAAAATTAAACGATTACTTGCATAATAATAACCGGTTACTTGAAATATATTATATAAAAAGAACCTAATTCCTATTCCAATGCCAATAAAAGTGTCCGAAATTTAGAATTTATGAAAAATTATTAGGTTACTCCAATAAAAATAACCGGTTACCCGAAAAATAATCGTTATTTTAATTCGAAAATTTCACCAAAGTATTTAATTCTTAACAATATAGCTATAAAAGTGTCCGAAATTTCAAATTTCTTAAAAAAAAATTAAACGGTTACTCGAGTAACAAGTAATCGGTTTTTATGACTTTTTTTAATTTTTGAAAAAAATATTTTTTTCTGTTGGAAATGGTTTAAACTCTACTCTCTTTTTAACTTTTTATTTTATATCTCGAGGTTTCAATGTCAGGAATTCACAAATTTTTTTGTGTGAGTAACTCAAGATAAGAACTTGTGCGCCATGGGTTTAAGGTGTCAACGACTGTGATAAAAAAGAACAAAGTTGGTGTGAAACACGTAAACATGACGTAGTTTGATGGATGGGGGAATCTGAGCAGCTGTTCGGATCCATACAGAAGTCGAGTCAAAAAATTGTCATGTTTGGAAAATTAAAAAATCCAAATTTCAAAAAATTAATATTTTTTTTGGATGAAAAAAATCCAAAAAAAATCAATTTTTTTTAATATTTTTTACAAAAAAAAAAACACAATTTTTTTTAATATTTTTATAATTAAAAAATTACATTATAAAAAATATGTATTCCAAAAATTTATTTTCATAAAATCTTGTATACAATCTGTTCGCTTATTTGTTTGTTGTCTATCTGCCAGCCTGTCTGTCTGTCCGAACATTGGCATGCCTGTCTGCTGTTCTGTTCATATCTGTGTTAAATCTCGACATTGTTTGGCATTGAAAATGAAAAATGATTTTCTTTAGTTTTTCGATTCGATTTCTCATGGATTTCTTGATTTTGGCAGACATATATTTTCAGCCAGCCATCTTGGTCATTGAGAAATCTGGACGGAAGGGAAAAATATATATTCGATATGAAACGGATAATAATGAAATTTATTTTGAAATTAAATAAACAAATTTCCATGAACCAAAAGAGAAATATTTAAGAGAGAAAAATAAATATTTTTTTTCTTTGGAAAAACGTGGGCATAATTTTTATTAAAATTAAAATTTTGATATTTTTATTGACGTATTATTCATGATCAATTTTTTTTATGAAATTTTCAAATAAAACTATGATTAACTTTCAAGTAACCGGTTACTTTTAGACGAGTAATTTCGGACACATTTATTGACAATATAATAACAACTGAGTTCTTTAGTGAAATTTTCGAATTAAAAAATCAATTATTTTTCAAGTAACCGGTTATATTTATTCGAGTAACCAATATATTTTTAAAGAATTTGAAATTTCGGACACATTTATTGGCAATTAAATTAAAAATACATTCTTTGGTGAAATTTTCGATTTGAAATTTCGAATATTTTTTAAGTAACCGTTAATTTTTTAACGAGTAACCGTTTATTTTTTCAAAATTTTGAAATTTCGGACACATTTATTGGTAACTAAATAACAAATATATTCTTTGGTGAAATTTTCGAATTCAAAAATCAATTATTTTTCAAGTAACCGTTTATTTTTATTTGGGTAACCGATTATTTTTCGAAAAATTTAAAATTTCGGACACTTTTATTGACAATTTAATACAAATTATAAGCTTTAGTGCAATTTCGAATTAAAAAATTACTTATTTCTCAAGTAACCGTTTATTTATATTCGGGTAACCGAATATTTTTTCAACATATTAAAAATTCGGAGACTCTTATGGAATATTTAATAACAGCTAAATTATTCAGTGACATTTATCCGATTATTTTTCAAGTAACCGTTTGGTTTCAATCGAGTAACCGATTAATTTTTTTGTAATTATGAAATTTTATACACTTTTATTGATAAATTAACAACAATAAAATTATT